TGCTCTACATGCGTCAAATATCTACTCCCACTCTTTAGCTAGTAAAAGAAACATGCCATTTCCTTCAACAGTGGTAAGACTTAGAGCGATAGAAGATAGAAATAATATCTTAGGAAAACAAAAACAAAACAAACAAAAACACTTTCCCCAAAGGAAAAAAGGCCAAAGTTAATATCACATATTATGTATAGACCGGAATACAGAAATCCATGCACGTTATCATACAATAGTGTTTTAGGACGGCCAAAATGGCAGCTTGCACTGAATACTTCATGATGATGATGATGACGATGATGATGGTGACGATGACGACGACGACGATGATGATGATGATGATGATGATGATGATGATGATGATGATGATGATGATGAGCTACAACGAACGACGATGGGGATGACGTTGAAGGCAATGAAAAGCAACCCAAGAACTCAATACTCACGTCCCCCATGGGCTGGGCCTTGTAGTCTCCAGCACACACAGCTGGGGGCGGGCATGGCGTGCCATTTGTGCTAAGCATTGGCTCGTCACATAACTGGAAGGAGGAGTCAGTTGCATTAACTCCTCCTTCTTCGAATGATTGACAGCGCCACCGGATGACGTAATCCCCTGCGGTTTCACATCTGTACCACGCTTTGCACTGCAATGATTGGTCAATTTTTCCGGAAGGAGGACAAGGGAGTGTTGATCGCCAGCACACCGGAAGAGGATCCGCCGCCATTTTGTCTGTTGGTACGTCGAGGGCAATTTGATTGTCTTTAGATTCCATCCGGCTACTGGTCACAGACGATGCATGTCTGAGGAGTCCTGTGAATATAATTTCATAAAATGTAATTATATAAGTTTTACGTCTCCAACAGTAGCATTTAGATTATTTGGTCGCTTTTAAGGACAAACGGGCTAACCCAGATTTCGGGGGTTTCAAGAAACCTAGGTCTACACCAAAAGTGGGCTTTGTCCTACCTATAGAAGAAGTTTGGCTTCATTGGTGCGTATATTTGTTTGATTATAGAGAAAACTCTCCTTGTCTTTCAAAGAAACTGAACACGGGCCCAAAATTTCTACCTTCGATTTTCTTAAAACAGCATTTTTCAGGATAGCCCCCTTGTGCTTAAAAGCGACCATTTAGAAGTCGGGCTATTTCGATCCTGCCTGTTAAAGTCAAACCAAGCTGAGACAGTTACAGCTTCCCAGCAGAGAGATGAAAATTATACTCGATATAAATTACCCACCTTTCTCGTCTGCTGCGTGCGACAAAGAACTGCCAAACCACTTCACCGTAGATGAATGTTCAGATCTTATACCCAGTGCCCATTGGGGGGTCGGATCTCCCAACAAATCGATCGAACGACTCGCGGCCTTGAAAAAAAATGTGTTTGTTTTTTAGGGTCACCGTCAGCTTCGTTCAGTTTGTACCACGATGGTTGCTTTTCGCCCTCAATCTGGCTAGCCCTACCTACCAAACATAATCGAACCGAGCAAATCATGCCAATGGACACTGGGTAGTTGGCAAAAATGCACAGTCCCTTACCAAACTTAATTGATACCTCAAATTTCAGCAGGCTAGCAATTATACGAGAAGCCAAAAAAGCACGTAATGATCCAGTTTTCGGCTTAGGTATTATTAGAAGTACAAATATTATGCTAAGACCTGATCCCGCCTTCCAAATGATCAAAATTTTTCGATGGTGGTGTAAAAACACCTACACAAAATAACTCGCCCCCCCCCCCCCCCCCAAAAATGGGTCCAAAAAAAAAACCCCCCAAAAAAATTAAAAAAAAAAAAAAAAAAATTTTTAAAAAAAATAACAACAAAAAACAAACAAAACCACCACCGTCCCAAAAAATCCTAACCCAAACAAAGAAAACAAAAACAAAAACAAAAACAACGCAACACAACAACGTTTTACTGAATTTTTGTTTTCAAACCGCGAAGCACATTTAAATTGTTAGAAGAGGAATGTTATCATAATATCTCTTGGCGATATTCCCAGTCTGTGTTTGCCTCGCAGCGAACGTCGTCTGTTTTGTAATGACTAGCCCCTTTGCCATTGCACGTGAATTACGCGAGTTCGCTTCCAGAGCGGGGAAGTTCACTTTATCCAGATGTTCATCTTTCTACTAAAATACTTTATCTCTCTCAGATTATCAACACGGGTTGGTCCTCACAGACAGGATCGAAGTCGTTTACCTGCTAATTGATTAAATAATTTTTTTTTCTGGTAAGTGTTTTAAAGCGCTCGCAACTGCATAAAAAGGTCATATGAATGTACGGGACACACCAAACATTTTTGGTTGGTAGGAAATTTTGAATTATGCCCAGATGGCGGCCGAAGCCTACACTTATCGATTTTGGACCATCAAGGGATCTTTAACGTGCGCAATTTGCACACAGGACCTCCGAGATTTTTTGCCCATGTCCGAGAAGGCTAGGTATAGATCTTTCCTACAATAAGATCCGAGGTGTGACTGAAAGACAGTAATAAGAAGTAGCCAAGGAGCACCAGAAGAAAGGCAGCAGAAAGAGACAGGAACCCAGAGGTGGGGGCAAAGGAGGTGAGGGGGTGGGAACAGAAAGTGAAGACGAAATCAGACGACAGAACATTGTTAGAGAGCAGGAAAGGGTGTGCAAGAAGAAAATTTGAGAGAAGAAACTTTTTTCCGTCACTACTCGGATTCGAACCCGGGACCTTTTGAATGAGGGGCGAACACATTAACCTCAAGGCCACGAGAGCCCCCTTGCTAATTTATATTGATTAAACAGAAGACGTCGTAAAACATAATACATATTAGCGTACACTGAGCAACACACATAAAAACTCAAATTATCAATAAGTCACGAATGCCTACCATGACGTACAGTCGAATACCCTAACGGCCACCTGTCAAAGGAAATCATCTGGTAAAAACGAACACTTCCCACTTTTCCCTTGCATTTTTTATGATAATAATATGATAATTTTATTGTGCACGACGTCCATCTCAGAAAACCATTATTTTTTCTCCTCGACAATGAATTATGGGTGTCCTTCTTGGACGATTTCTACTGTATGTTTTTGCTTCGTTTTGTTTTGTTTTGTTCTTTTTTCTTTTCACTGTTTCGGTTTTACGATGGTTTTTCGATTAACGTCACTAGTTGAATGCTCTTCGAAGGTCACCTTTGCTGCTACAACGAGTTGAGCGAGGCAGCCCTAACAAACCCGCCAAAAACACCCGCTCGTGAAAAGCAAACACATCAATCCATGTTCAAAGTCTAGCGTTTTGTCATCAGTTCATAAAGTCCCTGTTTGGTGGGATGTAATGTGATTTAACGGCTCCTTTGAAGAGTAGACGCTGCAGAAACTTTCAGCAAAAAAAAAAGTTTGATGAAAGAAAAAGACAAACAACAACAACAACAACAACAGCAACAACAAC